ACGAATTTTTATCCTTTTGGATATTCAAGACACGGTCTGGATGAACGGTTTGCATTCGCAATAGATGATACCGAAGACGCTTTCGTTAAGGACTCAATCGATCTTGGGGACGAGAGACTAATTAATATACGTACTGGTAGTTTTTTCAGCCGCATATGCGAGCCACAGAAAGTTACTTTACCCGATTCAATGGGTCGAAAGTTAAATGCGGGTCAGGGAGCTCGTCCCAGCCCTGGTGGTAATACTGAACTCCTACCGGGATCTACTTTGGAAGACTATTTAATGAAAACCAATGGTGGCTCTCTGTCTCCTACTCAAACAACAGTTAGACAGAGTTCCAACCAGCGAGAAAACCACCGAAAACCAGCAAACGTGGCGTTGCCAAGTGTGGAACTGGATCCAGTCCTGGCAATTCTGGAGTCCGATGTGGACAAGCTCGATCGGTTTAGAGATCAATTCCGCAAAACGGGTACGTCTTGCCTATTTACAATAGCCGTCTCCAAATAAGTGACTGGTTGTTTCAAATAACATATTTATGAATTTAGCAATCTTCTATATATTTACCAACAGTATTGATAGTATGGGAAAGAACTTTATATAACCGGACACAAACTAAAACATATAAAGGATACTCTTTCAGCTAGCCTCCTCATGCTAATAGCAAAAGAAATCAACAGTGCATGTCCTTCCTTCAACGAGGTCTATGGAGCTTATAGATTTGTAGGCGATGTTCGTGTATTCTGTGCAGGTCCATGAAATCTGAATGAGCATACGCAAAGTAGGACTAGTATATTCCATAGGCGAGATTGTGCAGAAAGTTAACGTAAAAAGCGATCTTATAAGCTCTTATCAGTATCGAAGTGAAGAAAGTGCAATCTTGAGTTCCGGAGGTTTCAAAGTTCAGATGCAGCTAAAGTCGAAGCAAATATGACCCCTAACGTCATTTGACCTGTCCATGAACCACCATCATGCTCGCCGAGTTGGTCTTCGGATAAGCCGATTATTAGCGCACGCAGGTCCAATAGCGCTACATTAGTGTTAGCTGGTTGATTAGTCCTTCCGCAAGTTTAACCATAAGTCAATCTGGACATGATTGACTTCACATTCAGATGTCATTTTCAGAACAAATCGGTAAGCCCGGCAGGTTGACCCTTTTCCTTTTTGATATAATCGCCTAGAAGCTGTGAAGAGTAAGAAATTACATCGTAGATCGGTTAAGAGAGGACGTTAATACTATATTTTTTACTGCAAAGGCATTTTTTATTAGACAGCTAAACTTAAACACACATTTAAAGCATTTTTCCCCGGTGATAATTTGAAGCAAGACAGAATATCAGAATGTATTCGCTCGAATAAATTTCGAGAGCGCTTTTCAGCTGCTTCCGCTCCGTGCATGAACAACGTGCATGAACAACGAAACCCGACCTATGTAAGCAACTAGACCATGTAGTCAATCTTCAATTGCCG